GGCCAACCTTCCGGCACCAACAAGCAACGCCACCACCATCCTCTCCGCTCTAGCCACCAAAAACCTCAACCCCACCGACGTCGTGGCCCTCTCCGGCGGCCACACCATCGGAGTTAGTCACTGCTCATCCTTCACCCCTCGTCTCTACCCCACCCAAGACCCCACCATGGAGAAAACCTTTGCTCGTGGACTCAAAGAGGTTTGTCCCACAAACACCACTGATGCAACCACCGTCATGGATATCTATTCTCCAATCAAGTTTGACAACAAGTATTATGTCGATTTGATTAACCGACAAGGTCTTTTTACTTCCGATCAAGATTTGTACACTCACAAAGAGACCAAACCAATCGTGGAAAGTTTTGCACATGATGAGAAGTTGTTCTTTGAGAAATTTGTGCAAGCCATGATCAAAATGGGACAATTGGAAGTGTTAACCGGTGGAAAAGGCGAGATTCGTGCTCATTGCTCGATTAGGAATCCCGATAACAAGGGGTATTTCTCATATTTGGCAGAAGATGAGGACCAATACGATCTTGAGTCCAAGGCAGAACTACGTTGATGAAAGATAGCAACACGATATGTTGTGGTTCGTTGGCTTGTCATCATGTACAATTTTTTTTTTTTTTTAATTTAATAAGTGTTTATTACGGTTTAAAATGTGTCTTTATTGTCATTTTGTGTACTTGTGTATACTAGTGTGAAATAATATGGTAACGAGCATCATAATGAAAATTTCTAGTTACGGATTACCTTTTTCCTGATTTCCATTTTCGATAAAAAAAAATTATATGTTCTTTTCTTTTTTTTAAAGGATATTAATGCTCAAAAAATAAGTCATCTCGATGCTGGCAAGTCGCAAAATGTGATGTCATTTTAAGAAAAAAATGATTTTGTATCGCAAAAATAATGATTTGGGAAACGACTTTTTGGAAGGGTTTTATAATGGGAGTCATTCAAAAAACAAGTTTAGCGGTTGTCCAAAGGAGGTGTCTACAAAAATATCCCTCTCAAAAAGTTTGAGGATTCAAATCTCCTAGTTTTTAAATAGCTTTTAGAGTCTGTATTATCCGTTCAAAAAAAAATACAAAACAACTAATTGTTTTATAATTTTGGGAAACGATTTGGGTTTTATAGTGAGAGTCGTTCAAAAAAAAGTTTAGAAAATAAATAATTATTTTATAACGGCCGGAAAAAAAAAACTCCATCCGGTGAATAAGAACATGGTTACTATGTCGCGTGACGTGGGTATTATTGGGGCCAATGCGTAAATATAACAGGGTCCATGGACCCCCATTAAAATTGAAATCATATATATATATATATATATATATATATATATATATATATATATATATATATATATATATATATATATATATATATATATATATATATATATATATATATATATATATATATATATGTGTATAGAATTAGGTTCATTTGAAACCACCTATATTTTGTGAGACCGTAAGACGTATTTTTTATTTTATTTTTATTTTTTTTTAGTTAATTCATGTTCCGAAAATAATATTTAAAAATAGAATTTTTTTGATTTTTTCATTTATTTTGCATTTTAAAATTATTTTTAGAATATGTACAGTGTAATATTCTATTTAGAATATTTCACATATTTTTCAAAAAAAATAGAATTTTTTTTTATTTTTATTTTTTATTTTTTTAGTTAATTCAAGTTCCGAAAATAATATTTAAAAAAAAATTTAGATTTTTCCATTTATTTTGCATTTTAAAATTATTTTTTAGAATATGTCAGTGTAATATTCTATTTAGAATATTTCACGTATTTTTCAAAAAAAAAACGGAATTTTTTATATTTTTTATATTTTTTTAGTTAATTCAAGTTCCGAAAATAATATTTAAAAAAATAATTTTTGGATTTTTCCATTTATTTTGCATTTTAAAATTATTTTTAGATTTGGTCTCACGGTCTCACAAAATTAGATTGGTCTCAAATGAACCTGAACCTATATATATATATATATATATATATATATATATATATATATATATATATATATATATATATATATATATATATATATATATATATAGGGTTAGGTTCATGTGAGACGGCCTAATTTTGTGAGACCGTGAGACGAATTTTTTTATTTTTTTTATTTTTTTAAATTTTTTTTTGTTTATTTTTGTTTATTTTTAGTTAATTCAAGTTCCGAAATTAATATTTAAAAAAAGAATTTTTAGATTTTTCCATTTATTTTGCATTTTAAAATTATTTTTTTAAATATGTCAGTATAATATTCTATTTAGAATATTTCACGTATTTTTCAAAAAAAAAAAAAAAAAAAAAAAAACGGGATCTTTTTATTTTTTTTATTTTTTTTAATTTTATTTTTAGTTTTTTTAGTTAATTCAAGTTCCGAAAATAATATTTAAAAAAAGAATTTTTGGATTTTTCCATTTATTTTGCATTTTAAAATTATTTTTAGATTTGATTTCACGGTCTCACAAAATTAGAATGGTCTCAAATGAACCTGAACCTATATATATATATATATATATATATATATATATATATATATATATATATATATATATATATATATATATATATAACATATTCAAAATTTCTTGAATTTTAAGAGGTATAAGATACAAAGTTTTTTGTACAAATCAATTATGCATAACAAAATCATTAATACTTACCAAAACTTTAAATACTTGAATTAAGGAAAGTTATTAAAAAATTAATTTGGAGCAAAATAAGAATTTTAAAATATTAAATCCATCAAAATAAGTTAATTTATATTTCGTAAACTAGATGCCGATAATAATTAATTTACATCAAATGTATAAACATACAATATAAATATAAGTTCTAAACATAAATATTTCAATTAAAAGTTGTAATTTTTCTATTTTACATAATAACTAATAACAAAATCTAATAATTATTTTCCCTTAAGAAAACTATTCACCTAAAAAACTATTTATCGCCGCTGCTTTGCGCTGGCACACATCTAGTGTGTATATATATATATATATATATATATATATATATATATATACTATCTTATAAAAGAAACCCTACTATTTCTAAAAATAGATTAAATATAATAATATTATTTTTTTAAAACATTCAAATCATTATCATTAAGCTAATAGTACAAGTAGTCATCAATAAAATAATATAAAAAATTTAACCTGTGTTTTGAATCAATATATTTCTCAACAAATTCTATCTCCTTCCCTGAATTTCGGATAATTCAAAATTTGAAACCATCAGAAAATACATATTGATTCAAATATCCCTCCTGCAGATAGCTCTTTCTTAACAGGTTTTTATTTTAATCCTTACTTGTAATTGATTTCATCATTTTTTACTTTTTGTATTTTTATTTTATAAATATACTGGGTGAAGGCTTTATTATATCAAGTTTGTTCCTAAAAAGGTTTTTACTATGTTTCTTTAATGTGTTGGTTTTGCAGGTTCAAAGAACTCAACCAAGAGGGCCAGTTAGAGCATTGTATTATCATTAGTTTGTATATTTTGGCATCTTACTTTTGCAATAAAGAACGGTTAAATACAAGATTTGACATGATTAAGGTAGTTTGTATATTTTTCATCTTGTTTAGTCTAAAAATGAAACATTTTTCATCATTGGTCCTTATAATATCAAGTTTCATCACATGGACTTCCTGATTACGGTGATTATTATCCTTATTATAAGGTTCTATATGGATTTTGTTTAATATTTTAAGGTTTCGAGAACCTAAATCAATATGAATCCTTGAATTACATACCATCGTTGAAAATGTTTTAATTTGTGACCAAACTTGGTTTAAAATCACAATGAACAAGTTGACACCTGAGTATTTTGGCCTTTGCAAAGGCCTATTTATCGACTTTTGAATCACAACACCTGATATTCTAAAGGTTTATTTTTATAAACTGTTATTTATATATTTTAGAATTTTACTTAGTATGACATTAAATTAATAAAAGAATTATGGAAAACGAAAAAGAAAAAAAAAAAAAAAAAAAAAGAGGACGATAAACAGTACAAGTGGTTTGGGTATGTATAAATGGAAGTAATAACCATTTAGGGGGTGTTTGGCAAAAAAGCTTATTGCTTATTAGTTTATTAGCTTATAAGTTAATAAGTAAATGTAGGGTAACTTATGAAAAAATGACGTATTAAAGGTTCTCCATTAGAATAAGTTATTTTAATCCAAACATTTTTTTAACTTATAGTGATGTGGAACCTAATAAGTTGTTTTAAAAAAACTTAGCCAAACACCCCCTTAATATGGTATGGTAATACTCTCGAAAAATAGATGACATTTAATATTCATTGTCGAAGTGAACGCAAAATGGTTTTAACTCTAAAGAGATCAAATTATTCGCCGACCGCCGCTTTGCGCGGGAAGACGGCTAGTATATATATACATATATATATATATATATATATATATATATATATATATATATATATATATATATGGGAAAAGTTAATATACCTTTAAGGGTATATAAGCTTTGGTACCCAAACTCACCATACTATGTTCAAAAAACCTCACGGATCGTCCATGTGGTTTCAAACTTTTAACATTTGGTCCTTCCGGCTCACTCCGTTAAATTTTGGTCGTTAAGTAAAGAGCATTTCTGTCTTTTCACTACCACAGGGACTATTTATGAAGTTTTGCCTGATTTATAAAAAATATATATATTTAATATTAAAGGTCTCTCTCTCTCTCTCTCCCTCTCTCTCTCTCTTGTTTTCTTTTTTCGTCTCACGGACATCACAAGGAAACCAAATATCCACCAACTGCTATTTCCCTCTCATTCGTATCTCACCGGCCGACCAAATTCAGGATTATATTGAATGATCAATGATAATCGGAGTCGACCAAACTAAATTAATTGGTTGATATTGGTGTTGAGAGAAGGTAATTTTGCTTAAAAACCAAAAGTTTGAATCGAAGATTTCTCTCTCGTTCTGTATTCAAGTTTGATTATGCATGAGGTAAACATCCTCCTACGTCTTCTTCGTTCTAAAGTTATTGCACCAGAGAAAAAAAAAGAAACCGATTTTCGTGGCTTTAAATGTGGAACTCGACTGGAGTTTATTATTTACGAAGGGTTTAGGTGGACTTATGGTGGTGGAGTAGCAGCAGTCGCACAGGTGGTGATGGCGGTGATTTGGAACAACGATGGGGGTGGCAGGAGGCCACTCCGGTGGTCTTCTGATGCCCTGTTCTTGCTTCCTTCAGTTGTATTCAATTAAGGGAGTGTGGAGAAGGTCACTAAGTAGCTTAGGGGTGGGCAGGGACAGGATCCCCCTGATAGCTATTGTGTTCCATTGAAATCAGTGATAAAATCCAATCCATAGTGCTTGTGTAGTATGATAAGCAATCAAGGTACTCAAAATGATAAAGAATGCTAGTATAAATGTCACTAAGGCCCTAGAATTACCACAAAGATGTGGTCAACGTGTCAACCTGATCTCATGCATCACCTCCACCTCTAAGACTACTCCAGGTATCACGATCGGATCGATCATACATTCCTCGACCTTTTTTTTATCTTTCTTGTTTCTCTTTAGCAAACTTATAATCTTCATGAGTGTTTCAGGTACAAGTGATTCCCAAAGCTTAGGAAATTCCATGGTCTACTTATTGTACCCGTTGATGCTAATCGCAGTTGTATATGCTTGATCCATTTTATTTTATTTTTTTGTTGCATGATTAAATTGAATGTACACAGGAGGTGGTGTTGGGCAGTAGGAGGCTGCTTCAGTGGCCTTCTACGTCTTATTTCTTGCTTAAAATTGCTAGTAAAAACAAATGGGATGAGGGAGAGAGCTGTGGTGATCGAAAATAGCAGCAACAAAGGGTTGGGGATGTGCTCTCCGGTGGTAGCAGTGAAGGGTGGGGTGATGGCAGTTTGGTGGCAGCAAGGTGGATGACACCTCTTCCTTCTTTTTTCTGGGCAGAAACAGATGAAAGGGAGATGTGAGGTGGTGTTTAGGGTGACTTTTTTTATCATAAGAGGGAGGTATAAGGGTGGTGGGTTATGGTGGTTTATTGGTTAGAGAGAGAGAGAGAGAGAGAGAGAGAGATGGGTGGGTGGGTGGCCCCCCTTTATATATATATATATATATATATATATATATATATATATATATATATATATATATTTTAAATAAGACAAAACTTCATAAATGGTCCCTGTAGTAGTGAAATGACCGAAATGCCCTTCACTTAACGGCCAAAAGCTAATGAAGTTAACGAAAATGACCATTTGTTAAAAGTTTTGAAACCACAGGGACGATCGGTGAGGTTTTTTGAACTTATTAGGCACTAAACTTGATATTTTCGAAAACCATAGGGACCATTTTTGAAGTTTTGTCTCTATTCTAAGAAAGAAAACGGGTGAAAAAGAAAAAGTAAAAAACTCAAAAATTAAATAGAATTTACCAAATAAACCAAAAAAGTTAAACCGTAAAATGTCCGAAACTTAAAAATTGTTTTGTTTTGGCCAATATACCTGAATAACTTTTTGTTTACATTTAAAAAATAATAATAAAATAAAAAATAAAAATTAACTAAAACCGATAAAACCGTAAACACTATGGTCGATCTGTCCAAACAAGTAATAAAAAGAGAAAAAAAAAAAAGACAGGAAATCTCCCCAATTTCCAAAATTCCACCGGCAATAGGGTTCCGATTTGAACAATTTCAACAAGGGATCGAACCTTTTCTTACAGGTTAAGTGCTTTTCGCCTTTCATGCCCATCTATTTGAAATTGTTCCATAGTTTGATTGTATCTTTATTCAACCCTAGTTTTGTAATCTCGATCTTAGTTGGTGGTGGCTTGTTGTCATGGAAACTTGTACATTTTTAATTACAGTTAATTTCCTTGTTTCCTCTTAGCACTCATAAAACTGGACGAAATGTTAGTTTTTTTTTTACGTTAGGTAACTGTAGCCCGACTTTCTTCTTTTTTGAATTCTTTAATGACATTTATATTCCCATTAGTTAGCCATTGTTTCAGTTTTTGTTATGTGTTTATGCTAAAGATTTCTTCTTTCTTAATTAGTGTTGTATTCTCAAGTAGATATCTATTTCTTTGTAGTGCTAGGAATGGCACCATGCATCTCCATATTTTTAATTTCCAATTGGATCGTTTCAGTTCAATTATTCCTCTTTGGATTTGTTGTCAAGCTGATTATTGCACTTGAAGTCACAATGATAAGTTTGCTCTGTTTGGCAAAAACCCGATTATGTAAAACACAATAATAATGGCTTTGAAAATTAGTCTTGCGTAATGCTCTTAGGTTGTTGGTAGAATAACCCTTTTGCAGAACCATATCCCTGTTGATTTTTTTTATATGTAGAATATATTTTTCACATTTAAATTCCTTTTATTTTGTTTTCAGTGTTGATCATGTGTAGATTGGTTGCTAGTGAAGACACGTCAACTGGTGAATTAGAGCATCATCAAAGCACTGTAAATGGAACTCGCCGCATGCACCCACAAATTCAAGCACAAATTGCACGTTTGGAAGCAAGGATAAGTAGGGTTGAAGCTCGGATGGAAAGGCTTGAAGTTAGTGTTTTATATCTTCAAAGGCGAATGTACATATATGGCTTTGTCTGTCTCATGTCTGTTTTGTATGCTATATATAAATGAGTTTTAGTAATTAGTATATTGTTGTATTGTACAATTGTAGTGGTATCATGTTGTAATGTTTGACAAACAAAAATGATCATGATGGATAAATTATTAGTGTTATTTTAGAAAACTTGTGACTCTTGTTTTGAATCTGTGTTTGTTCTTACTTTAGCTATAAAAGAAAAATAAATGTGCACAGCATCTGTGATTTATGTAGTTTTATTTCTATAATGAGGGTCCATTTTTTTTAATATCTACCCTACTAGCTTGCTAGTATCAAGATTCTTGAAATTAAGTAGATTAGTATTAACTTTTTTTTTTTGAGTGGGTAGAGTATATATACGAGTGTTTTTTTCTTTAATACAAAAATAATTAGTTAATAAATAAAGTCATAAAAAAGGGGGTTTTACTAGTTAACTCCCAACTTTTTTGTTTCTCAATTAACGCAAGAATAGTTATTATTATTACCAAAGGGCTTGTACGATACCTAATGTTGACATGGTGCCTCTAAACCCAAGTGATTAAAGGTTCAAATGTAAGTGTCGTGAGACAAGTTGTGTGATTTAGAAGTAGATTAGAAAGTGTCGTTCTAAAAAAATGTTATAATTATTAGCCTTGGTGGGTTAATGGCTGCTATATACGCGTGCCTTGCTAGGGATTCATGATGATGTTAAATTAATTGGTCATTTTGATTCATACGATTTAGGTAGTTGTGATGTGAAGGCACGTGATATTTTCCTAAAGAGAAAACAAAATAAAGTTAAGAATAATTGTTGGCACATAAATTATTAAGGAATATCAAGATAGTTGTATGGCTTAGGAAAATAAACAAAAGGTGTCTCAGAAGGAGGCATGAAGGAAAGGCCCTGGTATCACATGTCAATCATTCCCACCTGGATATGAGGGTAAAACACATGTTAAAATCACATAGGCACATTAAATTAAAGGTGGGTACGTATTTTCTTCACATATATCTCATTTGGTCGACCATTATAATACAAGCATCTTTACGAGTACCCAAAAGATGAGGTATTTATGAGGTATTTAACCAATAAAAATAGTAACTTACCTTAAAGGCTCGGAGTATGGCATGCATCTATTTATCAATTTCAATATGTGGTGGTATGCATTAAAATGTGCTTTGTCATGTCCGCATGTAGATTCCAAAACATCACGGAAAGCTTGACTGATTTTTTCCTAGAACGTTGAAACATTTCAACAACATTTCTATTTGAAAGACCCAAGATGAGTGTAAGCAAGTATATTCCAACATTCAATGTTGATGGGTTACTATTAACTTCTTGGGGCGAAGTTATGCCAAAGAGGACTTGTGAGCTTGTCAAGACTCTTTGTTATATTAAAATATATGTCCCGACTCATAATAAGAACCATCTGCCCCACCTCATTTATGTTGAATCGCCTCCTACTCATTAGCTGAAATGACAGTAAAATTTGGATCTGATATCACCAAACAAAATTATCCATGTTTTCTTCATCAAGTGGCAGAACCCCCTAAACTTATTGGCATCATATTTATCCTAATATGTTAGTTAATCATATAATATATCATCATAAGAAGAACCGGTAATATGTATATATATATATATATATATATATATATATATATATATATATATATATATATATATATATATATATATAATCAACGTTAGTATATTTATTTGTGATTTAATGTATTCATTTGTAGAAAAATGATAAATTTTACGTCTTTAATTTCAATTGAAAAGAAAAAAACATATTCATGTTGATTGTGCGTAAAAATTTATCATTTCTCCACAAATGAATAAATGGAATCACAAATGAATATACTTGTTCTCGCGTTCTCAATCTTTTAAGTGTTCTCATTTGATTTTTTCCATATATATATATATATATATATATATATATATATATATATATATATATATATATATATATATATATATATAGTCAACCTTAGTGTTTTCCATCGCTAATCTAAACAATTAGGTGTTTTTTAGTAGAATTCCAATCTAGATCGGTTTCTCCCATTTTTATTATTTTCCATTGACACTGATCTTTTCTCATATGGTTATCGTATCATATTTGTTTTTTTTTTTTTAATTTGAATTCACATTTTCTTTAGCAAATTGATATTCTATCTCACATCATCTCAACACTTAGGGCACATCCATTCTTGGCAATGAAGTTGATACACATGACAAAAATAGTGGAGTAGTGTCTAATATCATAACTAAATTGGTAAGACTAATTAATAGCATGGTCTTTTTTAGGTCGCGCTCAATGAACCAAATGATATTTAAATGTTGTAAGATCTAGGGAGATACAAATGGTTTATTAATTATTCATTTGATGATTAATTAATTAGAAACTAGTTCGTAATTATTTGGACTTAATTGGAATTAATTTAGTATTAAATTATGTTAATTAAAAATGCATGGGCTAAATGTTAATTATTCAATAGTTGAAATGGTTGGAATATTCGGGAACCCTAAGGATAGAGTGGACGAAATTGCTAAAGTTCATCCCTAGAGATTTCACACAATGCTAGATGAAATGAAGGATTTGAATTTGAATTAATCATGATTAATTAATTATTCAAACATGTTTTATCTGTAAGCAACCGGAAGCTATAAATACCCGGGAAAAACTACAATAAAGTTTCTACATATTGGTCCTATAATCGATTTAATCTATATATATATATATTTTTAATTCAATTAAGTTCCAAATACCGGTAATCGTATTCAATTTAACATTTTGATTCGGTCAACAGGTCACTCAACTTTCAAAATTTACATTTTTGGCCCAGATTTCAAATTTTATCATAAATTTTGTCCAAAATTTACACTTTTGGCCGAGATTTTAAATTTTGTTACAAATTTGGTCCAAACTTTACCCTTTTTGCCCAAATTTTAGAATTTTATTATGAATTCATCCTAACTTTAGTTTTCTTTACAACCTTTTTTCTCAAAGAATTGTTTCTAATATGTTTTTTCTTTTTAAAATCATATTTATACAAAAAAACAAAAACGTATTTGCACTTAAAAATCTTATATTTTCTATATAAAAACTGTTTTTTTTTTTTAAGTTTTTTGTATATGAAATGTCTAGTTATAAAAATAAATATTTATTAAGTATATAAATATATAAAAATCGGTTTCTCTAAAAAATGTATACAAAAATGTATTTTACAAAAAAATATATATACAAACAACTATTTTATATATATATATTTTTTAATAAAATCATGTTTGTTTATATAGTTTTTTATAAAAATATGTTTGAATAATTTTTTATATAATACGTGTTTGTATATATTTTATAAAATGTATACAAACACGATTTTATAAAATATATATAAACACGTATTATATAAAAAAAATTTCAAACACGTTTATATATATATATATATATATATATATATAAACAAAGAGGATTTTATAAAAAAAAATATAGATACACACCTATTTGTGTGCATATATATATATATATATATATATATATATATATATATATATATATATATATATATATATAATGGTGATAGGCGTTTGTATACATTTTTTTTTATAAAATACGTTTTTGTATACATTTTTTTATAAAAATGGCTTTGTATATACTTATATACTTAATAAATATATATATCTTTATAACTAGATATTTCATATACAAAAAGATTTTATATAAAAAATATACGACTTTTAAGTGAAAATATGTTTTTTTTTGTATAAATATGATTTTATAAAGAAAAAACATATTAGGAACAATTCTTTGAGAAAAAAAGTTGTGTGGTAGCAATTCAAATCTCACCGTGGATATTAGTGGAATTAAATGTTAATTTAAGTGTAAATTATATATTTATATTTGTCAGTTAAAAAACTACTCAAAATTTGTTTTTAACCATCTAACAAAAAAAACATATCAATTTTGTAATTGATTCATCACAGATTCCATAAATTTTAATCTACTTATAACTAAATGGAGTGTTATATCCTTATAAAACAAATATATATATATATATATATATATATATATATATATATATATATATATATATATATATATATATATATATATATATATAAACTTATTACGTTGCATCTCAAATTTGTTGTTTTAATTTATAATGAAAATCAAAGACACAAATCGTACATAATCGATCATTATAGGATTGCTTTTGATTTTATAATTCATCATCACTCCAATAATTTTACTTGTAAATCATTATTGGTATCAGATATACACTACGTTATACATGTAGATATTAATATTACTATATTATGATTTTTCGAGGGTGAAAAGAGAACATGTGTCAATGTAAAGAGGGTGTTAATGATGGTAAACCACCATGGATAAGAAAGATTTGAAGTTGAGCTAGCCTCGTATTTTGGATACACGAGTATGAATTCAAGATGATGGGTGTGGTTTTCAGTGTTTGCGGCAACTTTTGCATGAAAACATAGTTACGAGTTGGTATTAGACATAATAAGTTTGCAAGGAATCCATATGTGTATGTATATGTGTGATCATGGAATGAAAAAAAAAATGTTTGTGTATATATTTTTATGATCATAAAATGAAAAAAAAAAAAAAAAAAAAAAAAAAAAAAAAAAAGATCAAGAAGAAACTATGTAAGGGTTCTTGTGGGTGATGTAATTTAGATCTTACAACATTTAAATATCATTTGGCTCGAAGACGGGTTATCATCAAGCTTAGGGCCTTTGGGAAAAGAGAGATTTAGACCCATTTGGGTGTGGGTAATGTAATTTAGATGATCCAGGAGTTCGGTTTGTGTTTTGGTGCCAAGGGGTATACCGGTGAAGTGTCAGTTCGGGCTTTTATGGAAATTGGATTTTAGTTTGGGAAGTTTTAAGGCAAGTATGGATTGATAGAAGCGTAGAGATTCTCTTTACCTTTCCGTGTATATAAAGATTGTCATAAATGGACTTATAACGATGAAGTTATGGCCTTCAGAAGTTGGTAGGGTTTAAGGTTAACCCTAGTATGTGCGGCATACATAAGGAGTACACGGGGCATACTAGGGAAGAGGAACACGACACACTTGAAGAGTACGTTGAGCATAATGGGAGT